TGGTCTGTGCTGATGAGGAGTAATGTTCATGTTGGTCTGTGCTGATGGGAGTAATGTTCATGTTGTTCTGTGCTGATGGGGAGTAAGGTTCATGTTGGTCTGTGCTGATGGGGAGTAATGTTCATGTTGGTCTGTGCTGATGGAGAGTAATGTTGATGTTGGTCTGTGCTGATGAGGAGTAATGTTGATGTTGGTCTGTGCTGATGTGGAGTAATGTTGATGTTGGTCTGTGCTGATGTGGAGTAATGTTGATGTTGGTCTGTGCTGATGGGAGTAATGCTCATGTTGACCACTTTTTGTGTCTTTATTAATATTTTAACTTCTCTATATGTTCAAGATAAGACTGTCTGTTTAAAGAAACAGTATATGACTGAGAACCCATTGGGAGCTGTTTATGACAGCTATCTTTAAAATACTATGTAAAATCTCTGACTGTCCTGAAACAAACTTAATTCTAAAGTTGTGAATGTTATTGATGCTTTGGTACCGATGAAAACCAAAACAATTTTTGGTAAAGTAGCCTGGTAATAAAAGCTCAGAAAAGTGAATGCAGGAAAGCCAAGCATAAATGGAGACACACTAAACTTCAAATTTACTATGACATTTATAAAGACAGAGTAAATAAATATAAGTTAGATGTACACAAAGCCAGACAGACTTACTTCACTAACATTCTTAATAAAAACATTAATAATGCCTGCACCTTTTTCACAATGACTGACAGAATAACACACAGGACGACCGGAACTCTTTTCTGAGGATAAATGTATTAAATTTGCAGCTTTCTTGAGAAATAAAATTCTAAAGGTCAGACAGGCAATCAGCACTACTCCTTCTTTAAACAGAGCAGGTCAGCATGTACTGCCTTAAAATAACAAGGTATGTAGTACGTCCAGATTCATTGCCACTGACCTGAAATCACTCTGCATCCCGCTACCTGACTACTGCAGTGGTCTCTTACTGGCCTTCTCAAGACCACAATCAGACTTTCAGCTTATTTAATATGCAGCTGCTAGAATGCTTATGAAAACTAAGAGATCTGATCACATCACTCCAATCCTCCAGTCACTGCACTGACTGCAAATTAAGTACAGAAGTTCTTCCAATTATATATAAGTAGTGAACTGATCACGCTGGACCGGTCAGTTAGTAGAGCACAGAGTCAGACCCAAACAGGGTGAGGCAGCATTCAGTCATTATGCTGCCAACTGCTGGAACAAACTGAGTTCAGTAACAAACTGGGTTCCTGTACAAGCATGACTGTAAGCCAGATTCTATCAGTTCTGAGAGCTCATCGGTGGAGTCACTCCTAAAATCTAACAAATATAGATAAATGCTTCAGACAATCTGCACAAAATCTGAACCACAGAACGCGGTCATTAACTGGGCTGGTGGTGATTGTGCAGTAATGACTGAGCCGCGGACAGTTCAAACAAACGGGCACGCGCTCATCACCCCTTACTAACAGGCTTAGCTCAGGGGTCACAACTGAAATGAGAAAAGAAGAGCCATTTTGTCCTTTTAACAAAATGAAACCACCTTGGGAGCCACAACATTTTATATCCATGGTACCATCAGGGTTGTAAGTATGTCTCAGTATGTGCTGATAGTACAGGCTAAAAATATAAACGCAAACTCAGACTTACTTTGCTCTGCTTTAAACTTTAGCTCAGCTATAGCTGCTTTTCTCACAACTCCGTGAGGTTCTTGTAAAATGTCTCTCAATGTTCGACTTTTTACGAGGCTGAAGTCACTTCTCATTCACCTGCTTCTCGTTTGAATTGTCCCGTTCCACCTTAAATGGTGCCTGAGGCGCCAGGTTGTACTGCTGCGCCATTTAAGGTGGAACGGGACAAGTCGAACGAGAAGCTGGGGAATGAGAAGCGACTTCGGCTTCAGGAGTTGTTGCAGATTAAACATATCAGCTGAGTGATTAATAAATGCAAATAAGTCCACTCATCTCCAAATTATCGATGTTTGTCTTAAATGTCTCTCTTTGCCGTTTCGTTATCTGCGTTGCTGTGTGTCCAGCAGTCTGCGCTGATCTTCAGCGTTAAAGGGTGAATTAGCAGTTCTACATTAACTCCAGTGATTAAGACCATTTATTGTGAAAACTGTGTTAGAACTGTGTGTTATAATGATTTTACAGCAAAGGAGGATTATTATGATATTTTACCTAAAAATCTAGTTCTGCTGTGAAGCCACAGCAGCTCTGCAGCAGCAGAGATTATTCAGGCCTGATTCACCCCAAACAGAGCCAGAGTCACTGATGAGGATTTTGAGGCTAAAGTGTTGCTGAAGTTTAAAGAACTCTGAATGTCGTGTCTGTACAGATCTTACTGAAATGTTTAGATTGAATTCTCTGGTTTGTATTTGGTTATTTTTGTTGATTTTTGTTACGAAAAAACTGAAATGATTGATTTTGCCTTTACTTCGTCTAACTTTGTGTTGGATATCACAGCTTTGATTGTGTAAGTTTGATTGTTGGTTACACTTAAACTCACTTTTTGGTGACTTTTCGTATATTTGCAGCTTTTCAGTTGTATGTTTCTTTCTGGCTCATGATTAAATGCAGTGTCTTGTTCACACTGTCAGTTGGGCTTGTCTGGTGTGTCAGGTGGAGATTCACAAACATTCTGACAATCGCGCTTTGAAAGTAGCTAAAAAGTAGTGCACTACTTTTCAAAAAGTAGCTAAAAAGTAGCCACTACTTTTTCTGGAAAAGTAGCTAAATTGTAGCTGCTACAAATTTTGGGAAAGTAGCTACAAATTTTTCAGTAGCTGTCCCAACCCTGGTGCTTAGCCAGCATTGTAGAAACCTCAGTGAATGTTCAACTGGTGGTGTCTTTATGCAAACAGTCCTGGGTTCTTAACTGGCCTTAGAGAAAAGCACAGCACCTTTTCTGATAGCACTGTTTTAAAACTCTTTACTGCTGTCCTTATTACTGATCTGTCCAAAGCCTTCATCACTGGTTAGGATTCCCTACTTCTAAGAAGCTTACAAAACACTGTTTTTGATGAAAATGCTACTAACCAGGTCCTAAATGACCGTTCTGATAGGCAACAGTGTATAGCTCTGAGACACCATAAATCAGAATTACTGCCCAATACAAAAAGGTTCCCGCAACGTTCAATCACAGGCCCAGTTTTGCTCAATATATATTTATGATGTTGCCACCTCCACCCTAGACTTAATGCTGTGAACACTATTTTATATTGTTATGTAATATTTTATATTGTAATGCTGATTTTGTTGATGCAGCAGCAGAAAAACTGCAGCACGCTATCAGTGCCTTTCAGATTTCTCATTATGAGTGCAAATTATTTTAAAATGCAAAGAAAACTACATTTATCTTGTTTTCCAGATCTTCCAGTACAGATTTTAACAATGAATATCACTGTCATGTGTGGATCTTGCAGTGAAAGAGTCACTGAGTATACGTATCTTAGCATATGGCTGGATGATTAACTCAATCTAAAATACTGTATCTGTGAGCAGATTAAAAAATGAAGGTAAAAACTATATTTTTCCTACACTGAAATAAACTGTTTCTCCCAATGTGCACTAGGAAAAAAGATCACTGAGACACTTTACTATCTTCTCTGACTACAGTGATGTAATTTATACACATGAGTAGCTTAAAACCCAGAGATTGAATGGGTCACTCAGCTCTAAAATTCATCACTGATGACCATCACAGCACTCATCACTGTAGACTGGATGAAGAGCTGGTTGGTCCTCCAGCGTGGCAGGAAATGCATGGCTTCTGTTTATTTACTGGCATTGTTCAGTCACACGCCATCTAATATTACATCTGCACCCTCTGTAAATAAGATAAATGACCAGACTAAATGACTGGATGACCCCTCAGCTGCTTTTAGCTGCAGTGCACCAGCCAGCCAGTTGGATTGGTTCAGACATTTCACTTTCAGTCTGTTCTCACCTAAATAAATCTATGTTCCCCCACTTTTAACCCAAAATTTATCACAGCCGCCACCGGACATTCCAGTACAAATTCAAGCAAGGCTCCAAGGCACGAATCTCCAAAATACTTGCAATATTGAGTAAAATGTTTTGTTTATAGTTAATAATATTTATATTATAAATATACATTTGTACATTTTATGTTACTATTAAACATTAAATAATATTGAGCTTACAGACAAGACACTATTTCTAAATACTTATAAGAGCACTTTATTTACACATAATCACTATTTACACATAATCACACGGCTCAGAAGAATTTTCTCTTGGAAACCCTGTTTAAAGTCCAGGCTCCTCCCCTGACAGCCTGCAGATGCAGCAGGGTAGAAGCCCTTTCCTCTCAGCCTCTACACTTCTTTGAGCTTTTATGGGTAATTAAAATTTATGGGTGATCATAATTTGAAAATGTAAAGTGTTTGTTTAGTGTTTGCTGTATGTGGGGTTTGTATTTGGATGTTTTACAGTACAGAGTGTGTGTGCATCTCTGCTCTGTGTGTGATTCTGAGTGATTTGCTCATGTGAGTTTTTCAGTGAAGAGTTTTCTCTGTTAAAGGTTTAGAGAATAGAGTTTATGGTAATGAGCCACATGTTTGTAGTTTTGGGAAATGTGTGTAATAAGTGTGTGAGTGTGCGTGTGCGTCAGTGTGTGTGTGTGTGTGTGCGATTCTGAGCTTGATGTGTTCACATATAAACTGAAAACCATGACTCAGAGATCTGAGTCATGTAACTGTGTGTTTTAGAACTGTCTACAACTGAATTTTTGAGTCAAAAAAGTAGTGGTTTAACTTAAAGAGTGTCGAAACATTTGCACATTTCATTTTGTTTACTTATTTCAATATTATAGATTCAGTAAATAAATCACTAATATGCAATAAAGGTCTGTCATTTTTAAGTTAGTCAGACTGAGATATTATATTAACTTGTTTACACTTAGAAAATGAACAAAACACTAATGTGACCAGGGGTGCTCACACTTTTGCATACAACTGTAGTATAGAATGGAAATACTCACACAACTTCAGAGCGAGATTCCAGAATTCGCTGCAGCTTTTTCCTTAATTCCTGTAGTGAGACTTTTCTTAGATGGTTTAGCAAACCAGTCTCCACTGACGAGTCTTCACACTGCATCTCTTCAGGCTTCAAAACTTTTATGACTGACAGGAAGATCAAGATAAAAAACAGATTTAAAGAAGTAATATATATATGTTTGCACATTAAATGCAAATGGCTGAGAGTCCAAAACTGTTTAATTTTAGAATTTCTCCTGAAAACAATTCAAAAGCGTGCATATTATTTATAACACACCAATCAACACTGACTTTTCAGTCTCTGAAAATATACTAAAATACATATTAATTTTAATATTAACAAATAATTAATGAAGATTAAAACTAAGATTAGGAGTCTATCCTTCTTTAACAAATGGTTTATTTGCTGATGACTGAAAAAAAATTTGACCTGGAAAGAATTAAATAACATCAAATAATATTCAATAACAATAAAATAATAAGATTCTGAAATTGTGTTGACTCTTATTTTCCTTTTCCTTTATTAATTATTAATCCTGTGAATAGCTTCATTATTAGTGCTCTACTGTAATCTAGTTTATTATCTTTCTCTTATTTCTGTTTGTGTTTCTTGTTCACTGCTTTGGCAGCAGTGTTACCAAAACTTAATATCATCTTATTACTGCACTGAGAGAGAGAGAGAGAGAGAGAGAGAGAGAGAGAGAGAGTATGTGTGAGTGAGAGAGACAGACAGAGACAGAGAGAGAGAGAGAGTATGTGTGAGTGAGAGAGACAGATAGAGACAGAGAGAGAGAGTATGTGTGAGTGAGAGAGAGAGAGAGAGAGAGAGAGAGAGAGAGAGAGTATGTGTGAGTGAGAGAGAGAGTGAGAGAGAGAGAGAGTGAGAGTATGTGTGAGTGAGAGAGAGAGTGAGAGAGAGAGAGAGAGAGAGTGAGAGTATGTGTGAATGAGAGAGAGAGAGAGTGAGAGAGTATGTGTGAGGGAGGGAGAGAGAGAGAGAGTGAGTATGTGTGAGGGAGAAAGAGAGAGAGAGAGAGAGAGAGAGAGAGAGAGAGAGAGTGAAATACTGAAATATGTAGTATTTTGATTGTAATAAACCTAAAGGACTTTAACATCTTACAGTTCCTCATAATATTTTACTTACAATGAAAAAAAAAATCTGAGAAGAAAAGCAGCAGCTCTGTGGAAACTTCAGATAAACAGTCTTTATCTGTTCTGGAGTCACTACAGCTGAATATGTTACTCTAAAGACGACGTCCTGATTTTTGAGGTCAGCATTTGTTTTTACATGTTATCTCAAAATATAACCAACAAAACCAGCAGTGACTGTTCACCCTCATCTGCCCTCTGCTCTACAGAGACCTGACCTCCTGATCTGACCCCAGACAGCGCGCTGGACCGACACGGCTTCCAGCTGCACAGAGCAGACAGAGACACAGAGCTAACCAGCAAAGCTAGAGGAGGAGGAATCTGCTCCTGTGTCAGTGAACGCTGGTGTGAAGACGTCACAGTACTGATAAAAACACGCACCTAGAGGTTTTCACTGTTCTTCAGCTGTAAACTGTTCTACTCTCCAAGAGAGGTTTCATCTTTCACACTGGTCAGTATTTATGCTACACTGGAAAGGCGTATGAGAGATGTGTGGAAACTGCTGGCTGATTAGATAAGAATAGTAGAAAGAGAGAATCTGGACTCACGGCTCATCATTCAGGGAGACTTCAACAGCACAAATCTAACAAAGCAGAAAGAGAGAATCCAGATGCGCTGCTCATCAGTTTGAGAGACGTTGACAGCGTGAACATAACGAGGAAAGTGCTGAAGCACACACAGCATGTCACTTGTACCACAAGAGCAGGGAACAGTTTTGATCATTACTACTCCACTGTTAAAAATACCTATCACACGCGTCTCGTTCACCTCATCCCAACCTACAGGCAGAAAACTCAAAACCAGCAAGCTTGTCCAACAAATTGGACTGTTTCTGAAGAGGCGCCAGACGGACTTGATGAATACACAGATACTGTGACGTCATATATGGGTTTCTGTGAGGACAGCTGCATTTCAAATATGGCACAGGTGAAATACAGCAATGATAAACCAGGTTTTCAGCTTCAGAGGGAAAAGGAGGCAGCATTCAGGAGTGGAGACAGAATTCTCTACAAAGAAGCCAAACAAAGGTTGGACAAACAGATTAAAACAGCAAAGAAAAACTGAAAAGCCACATAACTGCTACTGACCCAGCGTCGGTCTGTAAAGGCCTCCAAGAGAGAAACCAGCTACAACGTGAAAAAACTCCTCTTTTTCTGAGTGACCACCAGCTCAACAACCTGAATGAGTTCTACTGCAGATTTAAACACACAGTCTTCAGCCTCTCTCCCCCAGTCCCAACCCACCTCCCCCACCCTGGCTCTCTCGCCTCTACCCCGCCCTCATCTCACCATCAACTAGCAGGACGTTAACAGGCTTTTCAGCAGACAGAAGGTAAGAAAGGCTCCAGGGCCAGACTGAGTCTCTCCATCCACCCTAAAGCACTGCTGTGACCAACTAGAACAAATTTTCACAAACATCTTCAACAAGTCACTGGAACTTTTCTCTGTTCCCTCACACTTCAAAACCTCCACTATCATTCCAGTCCCCCAAAAAACAATTATCACTGGACTGAATGACTAGAGGCCAGCAGCCCTGACCTCTGTAGTCATGAACGCCTGGTTCTATCCCATCTGAAGCCTATTACAAACTTTCTGCTGGATCCCCTGCAGTTTTCATACAGAGCTGTCAGTGCCAGATCACATCTGCTGGTGGATCATGGATTTCCTGACAAGCAGGAGACAGCAGGTGTGGCTAGGAAAACACATGCCATATACCAGGATCATCAGTGCTGGAGTACCACAAGGTTGATCTCACTCCTCCTTTTCAGTCTGTACACCAACGACTGCATCTCTAAGGAACCAGCTGTGAAGATCCTGAAGTTTGCAGATGACACCACTGTGGTGGGCCTCACAGTGAATGATGAGTCTGCCTAAAGAAAGGGAGTTGAGCAGCTGGTCTCCTGGGGCAGCAGCAACCACCTGCTGCTCAACATGCAAAAGAGCGTAGAGATGGTGGTGGACTTCAGGTGCAACTCCCCCTCCCTATCACCCCGACCCCTCCCTATCCACCCCACCCCCCCCACAGGAAAACAGCAGAGAATGTTGTTCCTGAGACAGCTGAAGAAATTCAACCTCCCGCAGTGTCTGATGATCCAGTTCTACACAGCGATCATCAAGTCCGTCCTCACATCATTCACCACTACCACAGAACTCCAGAGCGCAATCAGGACAGTGGAGAGGGTCACTGGATGTATCTGCCAAAGCTTCAGGACATCCACAGCAGGATGACTAAGCACACCGGCAAAACTACAGCTGACCCCTCTCATCCTGGACATCACCTCTTTCAGACTCGCCCCTCTGGTAGAAGATTCAGGGCCATCAAAACCAGCACAACCAGACATGCTAACAGGTTTTTCCCCAGAGCTGCAGCTCATAAACCAAAGTGGACACTCACACTTTATACTGACCATCAAACCTCCTCACTGTACTACAGTAACTCCTCCATAACTGTACAAATATTAATACCATTCTGTAAAATTCTGTATATAATAGTTATTACAGTGTCTGTCTACTCAAATCTGCGTACATAGTATATATGTAGATATTTATATCTGCATATGCAGATATCCACACATCTCTTTAGCTCAATACATCAGATCTGTATTATTCTTCTTTAACAGTTCTGACTGTGAATTGATCCTCTGCTGTTTCACTGTTTACATGTGTGGATCTCCTTACACTGATTCAGTGGATCATACAGTATCAGATAAACTTCAGATTCTCTGATTAAATAAATGGAAACAGTAAGAAAATAAAATCTCCACTTTACCTTTGTTCAGTTCTTCCTTTTCTGGCCTTTCTGTAAACAGAGAAGATTAAGAATGAACACGAGCACACATGAAGAGAAAATCAGCAGGTGTTGATCTGTTTTCAAGGTAGCAGCTGTTTGTAGAGTTAGTTACTGTTCATATTCTCACACTGTGTGTGTGAAATGTATTAAAGAAAATATTTACATACAATATTTAGATTAAAAAAACAATTTAAAAATATTCCTCCACATTATTAATGAGGAACATAAACATGCAGAAATCATTTCAGAGTCTTACTCCATAAACCTGGTTCAGTGAACAGACTGTATGAACTAGTGTGACTAACAGGGCTGAGAGGGTCACTTTAAACTGTAGTCCAGTACAGATACTGACCACCTGTTAATACTATAAAGAGTAACCTAATTATCCAAAGGGCTACTATAATAAAGTAGTGTAATATTCCTTTGAGAATAATTGTTCTACTGACCTCCAAAGCTATTATTTTCACAGGGCATGATGAGAAAACTGCCCTACTTGGTTCATCACACATTTCACAAGAATCCCAACTAACCTGCCTACTAACCTACTAATCCTCCACAGACAGGAGCTGGTAGAGCTTCAGTAGAGTCTGTCCATCATTAAAAGAGCTCTGATCCACACAGGCAGGACCTCACAATGCTCATTCACTCTCAGACTGCCTGAGTGGACTGCAGTGTAAAGAACAGTGCTGGACATCATTCACATTGTGTCCTTATTCATCAAACTTGTGTAGAGAAGAGCTCAGATCTGACCGCCCTGAATGAAGGACAGACTACTCTGAATCTGATTCAGGAAACTGGAGTAAGAAAACAGAGACAAGCTCTGATTTGAGCTCAACTGATGAATCTTCAGAGGTGGAAACAAGCGCCTGTACACGAGTACCTCATTTACATATAATTAGTACCTCATTTACATATAAAATAATGACACGCCTCAATTTACCTTCATAAACATATCATTTACATGAAGCACAGCCTAATTCATGCAAAGATTTCAGCAGGGAGCCAATAAAATGACAGCATTCAGCAGCTGTGAGTCAATGGCTGTGCTTGTAAGCAGAGTTTGAGGCTGAGCAGTGAGTGCACAGCTCCCCCTACTAACCAAACTTTATAGTGTTAAAATTACGACCACTGGAAACAATAAAATATGAAATAAACCAAACGTGTCAGTTTGAAGAGAGCAGAACGCTCCAGCTGTGTTCTGTAGTGTTTATGTTGTGGGCGGAGTCAGGACTATAAACTAAAGCACAGTGTGATATGGGCTTAAAAGGAACCTGTAACAGCTGCAGTGTGAGTTTATACCAGTGTTCATGTAATAAAGTACATCCACTTTTCTACTGTTACACTGCCCTCCACAAATATTGGCACCCCTGGTAAACAGGAGCAAAGCAAGCTGTAAAAACATTCTTCACTGCTGATCCTTTTCATAGTTCATGCAAAATATTACCAAAAGTCTGACATTTATTTGAAGAACAATGACTGAAGGCAATACCTAAATCAGTGTCACAACTGTTGGCACCCCTCCATTTAATACTTTGTGCTGCCTCCCTTTGCAAAGATAACAGATCTGAGTCTTTCCTATAATGGATAATGAGACTGGAGAACACATTAGGCTTGGGTGATAATGTAAATTTAGACAAATGATCTCCAGAATTATCATGATAAACTATATTATCATGTAAAAAATTAATTTACGCAGAAAACCCAGCAAGTCTTCCACCTGTTTCAGTCATGTGATCATTTTACTGCAGCCTATGTAAGTGAACTGCTGCGTCTCAGTGGAACAGCAAAGGAGAATCATAGCAGTGAATCTTAATTCTGGAAGAAACAAACTTATGTTAAAGAAGAAATAATGATAATAATAGTAATAATAATAATAATAATTATAATTATTATTATTAGTAGTAGTGGTAGTAGTAGTAGTATAATTATTATTATTATTATCTTTAATTGCCTTTAACAGCCTAGATTGTTTCATGCACAAATATTGTCATTTGTTTTTCTTTGTTTTCAACTTTTCAGCTGTTACCGAGCACTTCTGCACTCATGACTACAGCAGTTTAATTCAGTTGGCATCAAGCAGAAAGACTTTATTTAGATTTATAGCAGTAAACTTGAACTTCAAATTAGGAGTCTGGAAAAACCTTCTACAGCGTCCCTAAGAAATTAACAAACTAAATAAAATAAATAAAATGAAATAACTCATTTTTAAAGCCTAGAGCTATTCATTTTAAATGATAAGTAATAACTAACTCACCTAAGACAAAAAACATTCTATTGGATTGTTTTTAACAGCTGTCATCACAGAATATGCTGAAAATGAACAGAGTATTGTGTAAAAATTGTACATTCAGCAAAATGAACTGTTTTCACTGCTCTGTGTCAGCGCACTCACGCATTCTTCACAAGAAAGACAAGCCTGTTAACCTCGTCAGGTTTAAGATGAGAGCTGTGCTGAAAACACTGGGATGGGCTGCTTGTTGATCATCACAGGCAGGCGTTTATCATCGTACGGCCACCTTGATAACGGATCATCATCTCCATCGAGAGGTGCTCCCTGTTCAAACGCTGTCAGTTCAGCAGCAGCTCCTCTTCAGGGAAACAGACTCGTGATGGTTTTGCTTTGGACAAACAGCTGCCCAATGGTTTCTTCTTTAACGGGGGGGTCATCCTCTTCTTGTCTTGTGGAGACACTTGTCTGGCCCTGTTCCAGCTCCATTTTGACCATTTACACATGGGCAGCATCACTAAGACAGCTTTTTTACATCTTCGCAATATCGCCAGAATAAGAAATGCCTTATCGCTGCACGATGCAGAAACATTAGTACATGCCTTTATTACTTCAAGGCTAGACTATTGTAACGCACTACTATCAGGATGCACCAGCAGGAATTTAAGTAAACTTCAACTAGTTCAAAATGCTGCAGCCAGGGTTCTCACTAAAACTAGAACATTTGATCATATCAGTCCAGTTCTATCATCACTCCATTGGCTGCCTGTTAAATTCCGTATTGATTACAAAATTCTCTTATTGACGTATAAAGCCCTACATGGGCTCGCTCCTGAGTACCTGCAAGACCTTATTTCCCATCACAAGCCACCACGATTATTCAGATCACAGAGTGCTGGCTTTGTAATAGTTCCCAGAATTCAGAAGGCTTCATCTGGGGGAGGAGCCTTTTCTTATAAAGCCCCCAAACTCTGGAATGATCTTCCAGAAAATGTTCGGGACTCAGACTCAGTCGCAATATTCAAATCTAGGCTGAAAACTCACTTGTTTAGTTTAGCTTTTTGTAGTTAATGTCCCCCCTTAGATAAAGGCAGCAGGTCCAGGGGTCCATGGACGCAGGGAATTATAGTAAACTGAGACGCTGGTGCTGTCGTCCCGCCGCTCACACGCGATCACTCAGGTTTGTGGACGGTGGAGCGGAGGGATGCCAGATTGTCCCAGGGTGCTCCCGTGTCTGTGTGCCCTTTTGGTTCTCTCCTTTTAGTTAAGCTGTTCTAGTCAGTTCTGCCGGAGTCGTTAGCCACACTCTGGAAATGTTTTACAAATTATTATACATACGCCCATACAGAACTAAACTAACTCCATTTCCCTACCTTTCCTCCGAGAAAACGACTGCCCACCTGTCCGGCCGGATACTGCTGGATGATTGTTTGTAGAGCTCTCCGGCTACCCGCTTCAGACCAGTTGCCCACGCCCCAGTCACCACCACCTGCCCAGCTACCGCCACTTGCCTTGGACTAGCTGCCCACCCTACACTGAAGTGGACTCCTAACTACTACTACTATTACTACTACTATTAATATTAGTAGTATAATAATTTCATAGGTAGTTTGACCAGAGGAGGATGGGTCCCCCCTTGTGAGCCTTGGTTCCTCCCAAGGTTTCTTCCTCAGCTCTGAGGGAGTTTTTCCTGGCTCGCTCACCTGGAGGATTTACATTTCATGTTGAAACTTTGTCCTAAATGGATTTCTGTGAAGCTGCTTTGTGACAACATCAGTTGTAAAAAGCGCCATACAAATAAATTTGACTTTGACTTGACTTGACAGTATGTATTTTCTGACAGTACGTCTGTTTCTGATTCACTCAATATGTCGCTTTTCAGAAGCAGAAGTTTTGGGAAAAGCGATGAAATAGTGACAAAATCCTCTCCTGACAAAACATCAGTGAAGTCTGCAACTGGCTTAAGAGCCTTGTTCACCACTTCCAGCACATCAAGGTCCTGACCAGTCAGTGGCTGTGCACGTCGGTCAGCGGCTAGAACCCGTCCAATTGCTTGGGCCTGCTCAATTATTATCTCAATCATTCTCTCAGAGCCCCAGTGCGTGGCACAATCCTGTTTTAGCATGAAAATGGTAAATAAATATGAATTATTATTAAATAAATAAGTAAATAATTGTTCAGCTGTTTACTTTATCTCTTTTTATATAAATATAATTTTTAATTTAATAAATAGTTATTTATTCAAGTGCACATATTCATGCATTCTAATATTTTTTGTTTTAAATAATAATTAAAATTGCATTTAAATAAACAACATTTAAGATGTTTGTTTGTTTGTTCATTTGTTTGTTTATTCAATAATTATTCCTTCTCATGAGTCTGTATTGAAATAAGGGAAAGTTCAGGTCGTTGCAGTTCTTGCTGAGCTTTTATCGAGGTCCCCTTCTTCTGCCAGCTGTGGGAAAAAGTACCAACGGTCGATCAGCACAGACCCAGAGCTGCACTGTCCTTGGCTCTTAACTGCATTCGTCACACCCAGATGTAGGTTATGCTCAAAGCAATTTAACCATTGCCATCCAAGTTCGTCTCTCACGGCTGACTTTATATTGCAGTGTTGTCTGTTTAATGCAGGTTAATGTTTCTTCACTCAGCTGCCAGTCCTGGGGTACAGAGCGAAGACCTCCAGCCACACTGGTTGCAGTGTGGCTCTCTGGACAGAACACTGTTTGCACTGTTTCCAAGCTTCCACTGTGAAATAAAGTGTACTGTCAGTGACGTATAT